TAGCTATTACGAGGGGGTATAGTTTTAAAGTGAGTGGATATAGGGGAGACGTCAGAGTTAGGTTCTTTACTCAGAGAGTGGTCAGGGCGTGGAATGCATTGCTGGAGAGGGTAGTGGAGTCGGCCTCATTAGGGGCATTTAAGCGTCTATTAGATAGGCATATGGATGATGATATAAGGTAGGGGTGGAGGTTAGATAGACCTTAGGTTAGGGGTAAAAGTTAGGCACAACTCTGCTGTACTGTTCTATGTTCTATGTTACAGGAGAAAATATAAGCATTGTCACAACAGGTGAAACAACCCGCTAAAGGCAAACTTGTATCAGAAGCAATTGTTTAACCATACACCCGCAGCCTTGAATCTCGGCTCTGGCAGTGGAGTATTTTGGCTGCTAATGAGGTGGCCAGGAGATTGACTTGGCTAGTGGGGTGTGGTAGGGGTTTTGGTAGAAATGCTGGGGTTCAACCACAAGCCGCTCTTTGATTTTTTTTTCCCTTCTTCACTCTGTACTGTGCAAAATCCATAGGCCTTAAAGTCCGTAGGACATCCCAGTGTAAACTTCACTCTTAGGTGCTCCTGCTCAAGGACATTAATAGGCAAGTGTCTGGGAATAATCCACCAAACTTATGGTGGCCTTTTGATTGTTCCAGGTTGCGTGTCCAGAAACATTATTAGAGACAACCTCGAGAGTCTTGGGCAGCTCTGTGGTCTTATGCATTGAATTGAAATCCCACTGGCTGCTATGGTAGGATTTGAACACATGTCCCTCGACCATAAGGCTGGGACTTTGAATTACCAGTCCAGTGACATTACTACAACTCCACTGTTTACCACAAGGCAGCTCTCTGGGAGTAGAGACCCAACGCAATGAATTTGTGCACCAATTATTTTGTAAATATGATAGAAACTGAGCACTCTGAGGACAATGAAGAGGATCCACTCTCAAATATATAGGAGGTCGTGCCACTCAAATGCATGCATACTTAAGCTGAGTTGAAACTCCGCTTTGTACTGAACGAGTAGCACAAAACAAATCACAGATTCACAGTATTTAACCTGCTTGAAATGAAATGTCCCTACCAGTAATATCTATCCTATTGATCTGACAGCTGTAGCATTGGAACACAGCAGGAATCCAGAACGAAGCAATCTCCTTCCAACAGGATTTATCAGCTAAAGAAATTGCCTTTCTTAGAAGATGGCACAATAAGAGCAACTTTGTTCTGTGCTTTATATATTGAATCACAAATGCGTTGTTGAACTTGATTAGACAACAGATACAGTGATGTTACCAGTGCACCAATCTCTTGCCCCTCAATGAGCCAATGCACTGCTTAGAATGAAGATTTCATGACTTCTATTTGTCTGATTTATTGCCTATGGCCACACACCAGCTGGAAGCTGGTAAATTACATTTGCAGTGTGATGTCCCGTGCAGTCAAAGCATTTTGTACCCTGAGGAAACGTGCAATTGTTGCGATGACATGTCCTCATCCCACCTATTTGTCTCTGGGAGGAAAGAATGAAATGTAATTAGTAATTAGTCGAGACTCAGTGATCTCCATAAGGAACAGTAGATAGCAAACTGAAAGATGTTGCAAATATCTCAAACTCTGCATAACTTTTAGGCAGACCTTCCTTCCATCATAAAGTCAGAAGTGGGAATATTCGTCGATGATTGTACAATGTTCAGCACCATTTGTGACTCCTTAGATATTGAAGCATGTCCAAATACAACAATATCTGGACAATATCCAAGCTTGTGCTGTTAAGTGGCAAGTACCATTCACAACCCACACATGCCAGCCAGTGCCCATCCTCAATAAGAGATAATCTAACCATCGTCCCTTGGCATTCAATGGGATTACCAGCTTTGAATACCCCACTATCAACATTCTTAGGTTACCTTTGACCATAAACTCAACTAGACTCACCACATAAGCACAAAGGCTACAAGACCAGAGTCAGAGGCTAGGAATGCTGCAGTGAGTAACTCATCTCCTGACTCCCCAAAGCCTGTCCACCATCTACAAGGCATAAGTGAGGAGTGCGATGGAATACTCCCCACTTGCCTGGATGAGTGCAGCTCCAGCAACATTCAAGAAGCTTGATACCATCCAGGACAAAGCAGCCCGCTTGGTTGGCACCACATCCACAAGCATCCACTCCCTCCACCATCAACACTCAGTCGCAGCAGTATATACTATCTACAAGATGCACTGCAGAAATTCACTGAACATCCTTAGACAGCACCTGCCAAACCCTCAACCATTTCTATCTAGAAAGACAGGGCAGCAGAAACCTAGGAACACCATCACTTGCAAGTTCTCCTCCAAGCCACTCACCATCCTGACTTGGAAATGTATCACCAGTCCTTCAGTATCACTGGGTCAGAATCATGGAAGCCCCAGCCTATAGGCATTGTGGGTCAACCTACAACTCATGGACTATAGCAGTTCAAGAAGGCAGCTCATCACCACCTTCTCAAGGGGCAACTAGGGAAGGGCAATAAATGTTAACTAGCCAGCAACGCCCACATTCCATGAGTGATTTTTTTTTTTAAATTACGGTAGTCTCCTTCACAGCCACTGGCAAATGTAGTTCTTTGATGTTCTGAAATTGCAGTTAACGCTTCATTGGGTCTTTGATTTTACTGAGGATATCAATTGCAGACAACTCACTGAGGTTCAGATGTAAGAATTGCTACTTGAACACCTGTAGATGGATAGAACTGCCGGCTGAGAGCCCTTGCCGCCCCCCTCTCCTCGCTTTTCTCATATCTTGTCCTGCTGTATATGGGCTTTGTTCATTCTCCAACTTTTGCCATTTTCAAATCAAATGCCTACGGATGGACCCATCTCTCCGAGCAATTAGTTTTGTACAGAAATTGTGAAGTCAGCAAAATTCCTTCAGCATCTGTCACACCGCTCCCTGTAGACCTCTGCAAGTTGAAACAACTATAGAAAGCACCAACCACATGTAGAATTGTAGCAACAATTAAAATAACTCAACCGGCAACTAATCTGTAAGAATCAGATGATCCCTTTAAATAATGTCAGAGGGTTCACCAGTGTAAGTTTAAAAGAGGGCATTGCTGGAGTGTCAAGCTCCAAATTGATATCAATTAGTGTTGCATGCTGATAAACGCAATGATCTTTCTGTTTTGCATAGATCAGTGGATATTCACTGTCCATTTGCTAATGCCTGCACCAAGATAGCATCAACTCGATTCAAACCCTGGTGTTATAGAGTCATACAGTCATAGAGATATATTACATGGAAACAGACACTTAGGTTCAACTTGTCCATGCTGACCAGATATCCTATATAATTCTAGTCCCATTTGCCAGCATTTGGCCCATATCCCTCTAAACCTTTCCTACTCATACACCCATCCAGATGCTTTTTAAATGTTGTAAGAGTACCAGCCTCCGCCACCTCCTCTGGCAGCTCATTCCATACACGTACCACCCTCTACAAGAAAAAGTTGCTCCTTGGGTCCCTTTTAAATCTTTCCCCTCTCACCTTAAACCTATGCCTTCTAGTTTTGGACTCCCCTACCCTGGGGAAAAGATCTTGCCTATCCATGCCCCTCTTGACTTTATAAGCCTCCATAATGTCACACATCAGCCTCTGACTCTCCAGGCAAAATAGCCCCAGCTTATTCAGCCTCTCCCCAAAGCTCAAACCCTCCCATCCTGGCAACATACTTTCAAATCTTTTCTGAACTCTTTCCAGTTTCACAACATCCTTCCGATAGGAGGGAGACCAGAATTGCATGCAATACTCCAGAAGTGGCCAAACCAATGTCCTGTATAGCCGCAACATGACCTCCCAACTCCTATACTCAATGCACAGATCAATAAAAGCAGGCATACCAAACACCTTCTTCACCACCCTGTCTACCTGCGTCTCTGCTTTCAAGGAACTATGAACCTACACTTTGTTGTCATTTTGAGTTTGAATGGCCCTAGTAAGACCCCAAAACTAACAAGCCCAATTTGTATCCCATAATTTTGCAGTATTTTCATTGTTGAAAATGTCTTCTCCTGCTTCTCCTCCTTTTCCCCTCCTTTTCTTTCATTCTTTTTCTTCTTCATAGTTTCTTCTTTCTTCTTCCACTTTACTTGATACACCAGAATCCTGATTGATCACCCTTTTCCATCTCTTTCTGTTGGTCCAGTAAATTGTATCTTGCTCTACGTTTCAGAGCTTTTCTCTAGTTCTGCAGGCATACATGAATGTTGTCAACATCTCTAGCACATTCTTCAATGACGTTATCTGCAAACATCACTGACCTTAGTGGTAAGGACTTGAGACGACTTTATCATGACAGTCGGTTCTTTCAAGATTAAAATTTTCAGTAAATTTAGGCAGACGTACCTATTAATGCAGTTGTCCAAGTTTTATTCCAAGGAACAAGGTATCACTAGGTGAAAAATTGCTATATCTGATTTCTGTGGCAACAGTCATCTCTGGCCCAGTATGCACCTGATTGGACAAAAAGGTATAGGGTAGATTTCTACTTTTGCTGGTAGTTGAAAAGCAGCAACAGTGAATCTGATTCCCATTATACACCTAGCCCCGTTTTCAAAATCAGGTATAATGTATTATAGACAGATGTCCCTTTAAACATTCCCTGGCTTATTCCACCACAGCGGAGATAACCTATTACCTTAAAGATACAAAGAGTCCAATTTTCTAATATATTGTTTCTCCATTGACCAAAACAAGCTAACCTACCAGCCTGTAGTGAAGAGAAAGGTTTCACTTTATCAACCACTTTGATGTGAATTTGTCCTTTTAGAGTTCAAACTGATTTAAGATCAATAAGTGTGCAATCTTTCAACCAGTTGGGTCAAAAGTGAGCGCACTCAGCTAGCACATTGCTTCACATTTCTAACATCTAATAATAAATGTTAGACTTTAGTTTTTTTTTTGTACGATTTTCATTGATTTGTGATACATTGCTTAAATTAGAACATTTTTCTTGTCTTTCAGGTCTCCACCTGTAAGTGAAAGTGCTCCAATAGGAACTGTAGTTGTCACTGTAACTGCAGCTGCAATCAATCAAACAATAGTGTATTCAATTATAGCAGGAAATGATGCCGGTAAGAACATTTTTGAGATGAATGATTTTATGTAGCATGTGATTTGAAAGATCAGCTTGTCAGTCTCACTCACCTTTGTGAGATTGCATCTCATGACAAGCCATGTAATAGTTAACTTGATAAACGTACATTTATATACATACTTTATGTACATATATATTTATCTCTACACAGTTGAAAGACAACATGTTGAAAGATAGTAAATTGCGTTAACAAAGGTTTATGCTATCCCTTATTAACCATCCTTAAATATCATTGAAAAGGTAAGCTGCTTTTTTGAAGCCCTTTAGTCCATGTGCAGGTCAACCAACAGCGCTTTTAGGGAGGGAGTTATAAGACTTTGGCTCAGCAACTGTAACAAATGTACCTCCAGTTCAGGATGATGTATGACTTGGAGGGGAACTTGCAATTGGTAATGTTCCCAAGCACCTGCTGCCCTTGACCTCTGACAAAGTAGATTTCAAAGGTTTGGAAGGTGAGCATAGTTACAGTGCATTTTAAAGATGGCACCACACTGTGCATCACTCTTTGAGGGGGTGATTGATGGTGTGCTAGTCAAACCAGGTGGCTTTGTCCTGGATCATTTTAACTTTCTCAAATTTTGTTTGAGTTGCACCTTCTAGGCAACCAAAGAGTATTCCATCACAGCCCTGGCCTGTACCTTGTGGATAGTGCACAAGTTTTGGTTTTCAGGATGACCGATACTGTTGAATTCCTGACATTTGATTGCTGTTGTAGTCACAATAACTATGTGGCTAGGCTCATGAAGTCTGTGGTGTTTAGCGACCCCCAGGGTATTGTTGGGGAGGGATTCATTGATGACAGTACAATTGAGCATCAGTGGAAAATAGTTAGACTCATTCTTGTTGGAGATGATCATTACTTCACAATATAATTCTAAGAATCAGTACAGCCCTAATATCTCAATCCAGCACCCTCGAACAGTAGAATGCAGCTATTTGGAGAATTGCCTGTGGTCTGTCTCATAACAAATTCACTTTATTTTGGTTATTTGCAGGCGTGGATCTTGACTCAGGCAGTAAAGAGGCAATGAACAATCAGGAGCTACATCTAAAAAAGCAGATCACTGAAATACCCTAAAGATCCAATTTTCACTCTAATTTAATTCAAATGCTAAATTGTAAGCATGTCTTCACATGGGTATATGTACATAATTAATGATGCTACATGGTCTGCTCCTGTCATATTGATTTTAAAGGAGTCATTTCAATAATGTATTATGTTTGCGTTAGTGCTGTATCATTTCTATTACAGACAATGAATGGCACTATTCTTCCAAATCAAAGTTATCTTTCACACATATGCATCAATGTTTAATTCATTATTACACTAATATGCTATCCAACTGCACAGACACACATGAAACAAATTAACCAAAACAACATTAATAATATATAGGGTTATATAAATCTGATCTGAGACTCAGTCGCATTGCATTTTGGATGAAACTATCTCTTGCATCAGACTGTCAATTAACGTTAATTTTGCCTTATTGTTGCTGCTTCCTTCTGTTTCTGTCATACTGCCCAGTTTTACCTTTACATTGAAATGAAAGGCTGAAACAATGAGCTTTAAAACTAGTGAATGATCTGTTCTACTGGATTACAGCCTGGATGGTGAACATAGACATCTATCAAATGTCTTTTTGTTGATGTTGTTCCTTAATGACGTTTCCCACCATTATCTGTAGAAGCCTTAGCATGTGTTTGGAGTTCAGGTTGAGTAAAACAATTATTTCCATTTATTTTCTCTGGAGCAAACTTTTATCTTCATGGATCCCCCTTCATTTATAAAATGTACCCACTTTTGATTTCAAATTGATGGGGTTATTGGTGGATGTGATGATCCATTCGTCGGTGGGAAGTTCTACAGTGAACAGCTTAATTGCTCTGTTACATCAATGCCTTGTGAGTGAAGTCAAAAATTACATTTGATGAGCAGCTTCTTATTATGTCATATAGCATGGAAACAGTCCCTTCGGACCAACTAGACCACGCCAACCATGCTCCCAAACTAAACTAGTCCCACCTGCCTGCATTTGGCCCATATCCCTCCAAACCTTTCCTATTCATGAACTTATCCAAATGTCTTTTAAACATTGTAACTGTAGCTGCATCCACTACTTCCTGTGGCAGTTCATTCCACACGCTAACTACTCTCTGTGTAAAAACGTTGCCCCTCATGTCCTTTTTAAATCTTTCTCCTCTCACCTGAAAAATATGACCCCTAGTTTTGAACTGTCCCACCTTAGGGAAAAGACCATTACTATTTTCCTTATCAATGCCCCTCATGATTTTATAAACCCCTATAAGGTCACCCCTCAACCTCTTATGCTTCAGTGAGAAAAGTCCTTCCATTCCTGGCAACAGCCTGGTAAATCTTTTCTGAACCTTCTCCAGTTTAATAATATCCTTCCTATAGTAAGGTGACCAGAACTGCACACAGTATCCCAGAAGAGATTTCACCAAAGTCCTGTATAACCTCATCCCATGAACAATGAAAGCAAGCATGCTAAGCACTTTCTTAACAACATATGATGCAAATTTCAAAGAATTATATACCTGAACACCTAAGTCTGTCTGTTCTACAATTACTGCTTATTTTGAAAGCTAATATGTTCAAGTGATATGATGCAAAATAATTTCAAGGAATGACTTCGAAGAAGGTCGTTTGGTGTGGTGGGTAGTATTCCTGCCTCTGAGCCAGAAGTTCTGAGTTCAAGTCTCACTCCAGGATTTGATGGTCAAGGAAGATGCATTCAAAACACAGGCATACAAATTGAGCGTCAACTTGTAAATAATCCCAACACATACTAATTGCCGGCAGCAAAAAGGAGAGAGATTGCCTGACAGCCATGTTACAGTAAGAAATAGGAGCCACCACCATCTCTATCCATAGCTGCAGTCGAGAACACGCATGGAAAAGCCGATGTTGCCATAGCAACCTGGAATTCCTGGGGTGCCAGTTGACTTGATGGCTAATGTGAATCAGAAAGGTGACGTTTGCTTTCAGTTCCAGCTGCGATAGGTTCTTCCTCCTTGCTCTACCTATGGTGCTGTTGGTTGGACCTTCCTTTCTGCAGCGAAATCAGAAGAAGACAATTTCAAAGTTGGGAAATAGATTGGTTTGTGCACAAAGGAGGTGGCATCTTCTTGAGCTGAAATAGCAAAATCAATTTTTGCTCATTCTCACCCCTCTCCAGGTCATTGACAACCAATTGCTAGATTAACCTCATTAACGGAAATCTGATCTATCCTAATCTACCTACACCTTTACATTTGTATTCAACACAGAAATATGGATGGAAAGCAATCTTAAACTGAATTGATAGCAAATGTGCCCATTTGATCCATTTCAGAAGAAGGGTGCCTAGACTCAAAACATTGGCTCTGCTTCTCTCTCCACAGACCTGTCCTTCAGAAATTTCTGTTTTTGTTTGTTCTTAAAGTGGCACAGCGGTTAGCACTGCTGCCTCACAGTGCCAGGGGCCTAGGTTCAATTCCAACCTCAGGCGACTGCCTGTGTGGAGTTTACACATTCTCCCTGTGTCTGCGTGGGTGTGCTCCGGTTTCCTCCCATTGTCCAAAGATGTGCAGGTTAGGTGGATTGTCTATGGGAAATGCAGGGTTATGGGGTTGGGGTTGGGGTGGCTGGGTCTTGGTGGGATGCTCTTCAGAGGATCGATGTGTACTCGATGGGCTGAATAGCCTGCTTCCACACTGTAGGGATTCTATGATTCTAAGAGCTCATTGCGAAAGCAATAAATAATGGAGGCATAATAAGCAAGCCTGTGCCAAATTGGATCTTGTACTGTTGGGGCTGTATAAGGCTCTGGTGAAATCCCATGTGGAATAGTGTAAGCAGTTTTGGGCCCCATGTCTAAGGAAGAACGTGCTGACCTTGGAGGGGATCTGTTTATAAGAATGATCCTGGAGACGAAGGGCTTATCATATAAGGAGCGGTTGAGGAATCTGGGCCTGTACATGATAGAGTTTAGAAGAATGAGGGGTGATCTAATTGGAACTTACAGAATACTGAGAGGCCTGGATAGAGTGGCCATGGAGACATTTCCTCTAGTAGCAGTGACTAGAACCCAAGAGCACAGCCTCAGAGCGAAAAGACAACCCTGTAAAACTGAGATGAGGAGGAATCTCTTCAGCCAGAGGTGGTGAATCTGTGGAACTCATTGCCACAGAAGGCTATGGAGGCCAAGTCATTTAGTGTATTTAAGATAGAGCTAAATAGTTTCTTATTTAGTAAGGGGATCAAGGGTTACGGGGAGAATGTTGGAGAATGAGCTTGAGGAATATATCAGCCATTATCAAATAGTGGAGCAGGGCCAAATGGTCTAATTCTGCCCTTATAACTAATGTTCTTCTGATCTTATGATCTTAGACTTTAACCTGCTGATTCTTCCTTTTCCAATATTCAGCACTGTGTGGCATTGGAAGCCAACCAACGAACAACTTTGCAGTTCTGCTTTTTAGTTTCCTCCATAGATCATGAAACTCTATCTGAGGATATCAACTCTCTCCATTCTAATGTCATTGATTCCAAATGGACCCTGACACCCAGCTACTCCCTAACCACCCAACCCCTTCCACTAGCATCAGAAGGTTACATTGTTTGTCTGTGCCATCTTTTGCCAAACAAGGCAATGAATCATGTTGAGACTCTTACTGGTGGTTACACTGATACCTCTTCGTCCTTCTGCCTATTGAATACCTTATGACTAGTGCATTCCAACATTTTGAAAAGCCAGAAGCCCTCCCTGCACCTCCCTGCACAGTGTCTTAGTAGTTAGCATTGCTGCCTCACAGAACCAATGACCCAGGTTCAATTCCACCATCGTGCAACTGTCTGTGTGGAGTTTGCACATTCTCCCGGTGTCTGCGTGGGTTTTCTCCAGCTGCTCTGGCTTCCTCCCGCAGTCCAAAGATGTGCAGGCTAGATGGATTAGCCTGGGAAATGCGAGGTTAGAGTGATGGGGGGAGGTGGTGGTATCTGGGTGGGATGCTCTTCGGAGGGTTGGTATGGATTTGATGGGCCGAATGGGATATGCATTCCATGATTCAATTTGGTGATTCAATGAAGTTTAGCAGGTTTCCCTGAAAACTTGATCCTCACCAGATCACTAACATTCCTGTCAGCTGGAGCAGAATTTTTCTTGCCGAGTGTGTTAGGTGTGCGTACACCTGTAGACACAACCCCACAAAATGATACCTGATCAGAAACACAACATGATCCTGCTCATTTCCGGGATTAATATGTGCACATTTTAAGACAAGAGATGTTGGTTAAGTCAGGGGAGACAATGGCCTAATGGTATTATCGCTGGACTATTAAACAAGAGACCCAGATAATGATCTTGGGACCCAGATTTGAATCCCGCCACAGCAGATGGTGGAATTTGAATTCAATAAAATCTAAGAATCTAATGATAACCGTGAACCCATTGTCGATTGATGAAAAAACCCATCTGGTTCACTAATGTCCTTTAGGGAAGGAAACTGCCATCCTTACCTGGTCTGGCCTACATGTGACCCCAGACCCACAGCAACGTGGTTGACTCTTAACTGCCCTCTGGGCAATTAGGGATGGGCAATAAATGCTGCCTGGCCAGCAATGCCCTCATCCTGAGAATGAATAAAGAAAAAAAAGTCATTTGAATGTTGACATAAGCAAAGAATTATGAATTTAAACCAGAATTCTGGCTTTAACTGCGAGTGTATGGGTTTCCCAAACTGTTTAAAATCACATAGATTGACAAGGCAAGTGCATATAAAAGGAAACCATTGTTCATTGAAACTGACAAAGTTGAAAAACCTTTCCGCAGTGATACTGAATAGCTCCTGGACTGCCCATGTGGGAGATTACTGCTCACAGGACATGTTCATGGAGCAAGATTTCACTGTTTCAAATGTGACTTCCAATTTTCTGGTAGTCATTTCTGATGCAGACACAGTGGGCTGAATGGCCTCTTTCCCACCATAACAATTGTGCTGTGCAGAATCATCAATCTACAAGGCACAAGACATGAGTTTGATGGAATACTCAACTCTTGCCTGAATGAATGCAGCTTCAATAACATTCAATAAGCTTGACCCCAGTCAGTCCTGGATTGACATTACATCCACAAGCATTCAGTCTCTCCATCACCAAAGTTCAGTAGCAGCAGTGTGTATCATCTACAAGATGCACTGCAGAAAATCATGAAAGACCCTTGGACAGTGCTTTCCAATCCACAACCACTTCCATCTGAAAGGGCAAGGGAAGCATGTACATGGGAATACCACCACCTGCAAGTTCCCCACCAAGCTACTTACCATCCTGACTTGGAAATATATTGCCATTCCTTCAGTGTCGCTGGGTCAATATTCCAGGAACTTCCTCCTTAAGAGCATTGTGAACCTCATGGACAGCAATGGTTCAAGAAGACAAGCTCACCACCACCTCTGAAGAGCTACTGGAGTTTGATAATAAACGTTGACCCAACCAGCAACACCCACATTCTGAGCATGAATCTAAAAACTGCAGGAGCAAGGCCTTGTTCTCGACCATGTTTCTCTCCATGGGACAGAGGTGATTAATACAGAAATCTAGCTCAAAGATTGCAATACCCAGCGCATAGAATTTAGAAATAGAAGATCAGCTTTCTGGATATATGTGAACACCAGTCCCTCAAGATGATCAGGTTCTCACAGCAGGTTTTTGCTGATGTCTACCATGCCTGTGGCCCTGGTGAGCATCATTGAAAGTGGCGTTCAAGGTGGCTATCAGTAGAGGACCATCATCCATTCTCTGCTTCTCCCTAGAGCTGTGCACTGTTTTCTGCAGGGAGAAGAAAACAGAGGATTATAACTGTGAGAAATAGACTGTGTGGAGAGAAAGGATGACAACAACCTTTCAATTACCAAGAGACAAGTCAGTAAGAGAAGAGTGAGTGCAAGTGTTAGCTATTCGAATGAGGATTTGTGTAGGTCCCTAGAGAAAAATGAAGGATTGCAGCTGTAAGGTGTAATGGTTGAAGAGTGTCATGCAGGAGAATGTTGGGGATGTTAGAAAGTGGAGATTGGTCACTTTTTCTGCCCTGGTGAAGTCATCAAACCTCTTGTGCGCTGCATGCAAGTTCAAGGGACAACACCACTGCTACTCTCTTCCTCAGCTGTGTCTTTCCAAGGCTGCCTGATTTGACAGGTTGGAATTTTTTGTCATTTGTGGGAAATGGTACATCTCTGTAGTCCCTCAGATCAGACAGTGGAACCCCCAGGAAAGAGTCAGAAACCATGTCACAGCCATCTCAAGCCTCCCTTTCATTCCTGTGGATGCTGAAGGCATGGGAAATATTGCACAATTGCCACAATGACCTCTGCTTCTGGCCTTTTAACCAGAAGTCTGTCCTTTGATGGATGCAAGCTATGATCACCTTTGCACTTGATGAAAATTCAAGAAATCTAGAAGTGGCTAGGTTAAAGAGTCACTGTGAAGGCTACTTTCCTGACAAACAAGTTCATAACAGGCTGCTGGCTCCCTGTTGCAAGTGATCTATTACATTGAAATTCCTTCTCATCTGCTATTCCCAATGGGATTCCCCTGTTCTGTTCTCTTACCGTGCATCTAAGGTGCTGTTTTATTGATGTTAGAGTGTTTGATGATTAAAGGAGAAGGTTTGAGATTTGGGAAGTGCCCTATTTTGAATTTCTCCCCTGTTACATCGTAAAATAAATCAGAAATAATCCAAATTAATGAAATTTGCTGCTGTTTCCCTGTGTAAATGATATTTTAACTATTTCCTGTTTCAGGCGTATTTAAGATCAACAATCGGACAGGAGTCATCACAACAAATAAAACTTTGGATTATGAATCTGTAAAGGATTATGAAATTAGGATCCAGGCAGATTCATTGTTGTTCTTCAGGTCAAACCTCAGGGTTCCTTCAAGAAGTAAGTCTAGATGATTACATTTATTACTGTTTCCAACTTAAATTATTGTGGATTGTTCATTGGATTGCAATGTAAGTAGTAAAATGGTATGGAAGACAACGTTCCAAATATTTGCTTACAATGTTTGGTTAACTTTTACTGCTGGGCAAGTGAGCCACAACATTTCCATCATTCCACTGTGCTACAGTGTTACCAGCTGCCTGTCAAGGTCAGAAACCTTGTGTCTAAGCAGAGACACTGTCCTAGATACAGGGATGACCAGGACATGCAAAGCAAAGGGATGTGGGGCTGCTTGGTTGATATGTGTATTCATTTGAGAGAATCATCTGAAGAAGAATTAAGCCATTGACTAGCATCAATAAGTCACAAATTAGTTCAGATGAAGTCAAATTTAACTTGAAACGTTAACGCTCCTTCTGCAGATTCTGTCAGACTTCCCAGATATCTCCAGCTCACCCTTTTTATTTCCAATTTCTAGCATCTGCAGTTATTTGCTCTCATTTCAGTAAGTCAATAGTTCTGCAGGGAGAAAAGCATGTTGCGTTATTTGGTCTTGCATAGTGCTGCAGGCTAAAAACCGGCCACCTTATGTAAAGTATTTGAAAAATTTACCCTTCAAGGATGAAAACATGCAAGTGGTAAACAGTCCGTGGAATTTTAGCATGTTTAGCTTTTATCTTTCCTAAGTAACTGTTAATAAATTTAATAGCCTTCCTTTTGTGATTTTTGTGGGAAATGTTACTTTTTTCAACACAAGATAATATATTAGTCTAGATATAAGAGTGCTAGCAGGCAAGCTTTCTCCAAGTATTTGTCTGTGCTGTTAAGCTAGGTGCAAGTAAAGAATGGTGTGATAACATTGATCTAGGTAGATGGATCAGGATATGATGTGAAATTGAATAGTTTTGCAACTGAATATAATTTGTGGATTAAATTTAATTCTGATTTATCACAGCCCAGAGTTTGTGAATGTAAAAAACAGAAAAAGGATATGTCATTTATAAGATGGAGTTTCTGCACAATCTCAGGGGGTTCCTTCAAGGCACTTAGTTGCTGCCTCTTTATGAACACTTACTGTGTCTTTCTTTCTCAACAACCTTCTTGTTGGTGTTTATTCATCGAAATCGTAGCCTTACTCACAACACATCACAATGTTGCCTTGAATCCTGACCTCCTATTTATCACATGACTTGGCATTTCCCTCCAGAGCGTGAATGTACTCCCAAAAAAGGCCTTATGTTCGCAATCGTTTTGTGGATGATTTTGTAAATCATGTGGCTTTTTGTCTGAGATTTGGTACACAACTGGTGATACTTTTTCCCTTTTTAAAGTCTCCTTCTACTTTGCACCACCTGCCCTGACTAAAGCAGGTTATCAGCATTGTGTTGTGGTCCAAACCAAATATTGATTTTGTGATGTTATTTGCCCCTTTATGCACTTCATTGCATCTCTCTCCTCCCTTGTTGCTTACTTCTGCATTTCTACTCAACCCGCCATCACTCCCAAAATCCCACTGCAAGTTTCTCACCATGATATCCTCCATTCGGTGATATACCATCCAGTTGCCTGGCCTTTGAAGCTCCAATCACCGTAATAGTTTATTCACTGTCAGGTTACATCCCTCCCTCTAACTGAAGTCGATTTAGCCACTCAAAAGCAGGCTGGAATACATCAAGTGCTTTGGACCATATTTTTCTGCACTAAAGTTCTCTGCTGGATCATCTCAATATCAAAAATAACCCCTTACCTTTTTAATATCATGCATCGCCTAAGGCCCCACTCCACTGCTCCTTCAACCTTAACCTCTGGAAGGTGTCATGGCTTTCTTTGTTGCTGGGAGTGGTGAGCTAAGGGAATGTTCTTGGTGTAATTTTAACCCTGACACGTGTGAGTACAGCTCCAAACTGCAAAACTTAAATACAGCAGATGCTGGAAAACCGAAATAAAAACAGAAAATGCTGAAAATACTCAGTGGGTTTTTCAGCATCTGGAGAGAGGGAAACAGAGTTGACTTTTGAGATTGATGAGCTCAGCAACCCAATATGTTGGGTGTAATCTGTCAAGGAGGTGAGGGTCCTGTCAGCTGGTGAGAGACCCACACTGCCATTTCCAGGGAGGGCTAGAAAGGAACGTCATGACGATTGGGCAAAAGCGAGGCTGTGACAGATACCCACCTTGAATTAGGACCCCAGGGTTACAGCTGGCCTTCTCTGACAGATTCTCCTGTCATTCCCTTCTGTGGAAAGCTTACACTGAAAAGGAGAATCCATTCGGTAATCCTTAATGTGTGTCTTACGGTTTGGATCTTTCATATGTGTGGACATAAGCTTTAATATTGAACAGGACACTATTCTGATAAAGCAAATACATACAGAATGAACCACAGTTTATAAAATGAGAGCCATTGAACAACGCTTCATGTTATGTAGCTAGTGGACATTCCTTTGTGCCCTGTTTAAAAATAAACTGTTAACTAATTAAAGTAATATTATTACAATAAGATTATGGAACACAAAACCTTTTATTAAAAATACTGGTTTGTGCTGCTGCAGATATGATAGGTTGAATGTCCTCCTTTTATACTATAACAATTCTGTGATTCTATTTCAATGAGTTCACTGAAATAAGCAACAGCAGCCTGTTAAACAAGTCCACTAAGTCTTGATCCACAGTCGATTATAGGCCCCATTATGTTTTGTGACTGTGATAAACCTCTACAAAGTTCATGGGGAACCACTTATTAATCTCCCTGCAGAGCATGTTGAGTATGAGTTCCTTTGGTAACAGGCAATGTGCTGTCCAGCTGGAATCATCACTTGAATCATTTATAAAGCAGACCCAATGCCCCTACCCCTGGTCCTTGAGGCCTGGGTTCAAGTCCCATCTGTTCCAGAGGTGTGTAATAACACCTCTGAACAAGTTGGTTAAAAAAAAAGGTCAAATTAAGAAAAGAAGCAGACCCAGTAGTGGAGAGGGTCATATGTGCTGACTGTCTGTCCGTCTTCTGTGGTAATGTTCATGCTTTGGACAGGGAGCACACAGTGTCCATTGATGCTCTTAGTGCCTTTGAAGAGAGGTGGGCACTGCCAGGGATACAGTGCGTTATTTCCTTCTCCAACTCCATTTTAATTTAGTCCCTTCCCTCACTCCCTACGTCCTCCCACATTTGTTGGTTAGCCCTTAACAGGCTTTGCCCGTAAATATTGAATTGGTTACATGGGTGATTACTGGTAGTAGTCAAAAGGAAAGAAAGTGAAAGTGAACGTCACGGTGATTTTGCTGGTGGAAACTTCATTCAGTTGTGTGTAATAACCATTCTGGCAGTAAAGAGAAAACAAAAACCCAGGAAAGGCTCTTGTGATACAGTGGTAGTGTCCCTACCCCTGAGCCAGGAGACACTGGGTTCAAGTTCCAAGTTTTCCAGAGGCATTTCATGACATTTCTCTGAATATGTTGAGTATAACATATTAAAATAAAAGATGTGTCTGCAGAACTGTCTATCCCAGGTCAGCAATAGCCTATGTATACCACGAATAAGACTCGGTTTTGGTGTTCAACAATAAATGATGTTCCTTTCCAGTCAGGCTTCCTGAGTTATTATAGTTTCCCCCTCCTATTCCATGTTAACTTGGGAGCCAGACTTTTGGATGGCTTACAATCTGTTCATGTACTGACCCACGCTCTTTACCATCAATGTCTTTTGCCTACCCTTCTACCCTTCAAACCTGATTGGCTCCAATAGTTTGGACCTGAACTCTTCACCTTCTTAGCCTAACATTTAAAAACTGGCAACTTATTTACATTTCTTTTCCTTAAATAATTGTTTGGCAGTTTATTTGCAAAGAAAACTTCTCAATTAATTTTCCAAATATAACGTGGGATAAAGAAAGATCTAAAGTTTAACCACCTAAGATAGTTACAATAACATTAACCAAACCTTTATGTTGAATTTATTCTTTTTTTTTGTTTCAAGATAATATTAAAGGCAAGGATATATGGTGAAAACTGCTTCACTCTTCTAATTTCATTGGAACAGAAACTTAGTGACTGAAAAAACAATGTTTCAAGCAGGAAGAAAAATAAATCTCCAAACTGTAATCAGGAGAACAGTAACTTGTCTTGTTTATTGCTCCCTGCTGCCATCGCTCCCAGACATTGTATATAAAGCACCAGCTGAGCCAGCACACTACATGCCACTTGCTGATTTAAGTAGCAAGATTTTAATTATGAGAAATGCACAGCTAGGGGGAAACAATATTATGCAATGCAGCTTGCAATTTGCACGAAGTTTGCACACTAATCTGATGCTATTTTTGGCAGGAGCAAATTTAATGCTTAACAGATTGGATCTATTATTGCTGCTTTGCTCCTACAGTCACAAGATTTTTTTAAAATCATTTTTTTTTGTTTCCTCAACTTCTCCCTTAATTTCGAAAATTTAGGCAGCTAGTCTAGTCCATGTATGACTGCAACAACAGCAGAAAGTGCTGGAGAAACTCAGCAGGCCTGGCAGCATCTGTGGAGGAAGAAACAGAGTTATCATGTTGAGTCTAATCTTTACATTCCTTAAAACTGAAGAGAGGTGGAATGTGTTGGGCTGTACGCTGTTGTAAAAAGGTGGAGGGCCAAGTGGACCGAAAGGGAAGGAAAGGGAAATGTTAATGGCTGAGGGTGGTTAGAGAGCAATGATAACATAGAAGACAGGTATATTATCTCAAATGGAAAAGATAAGACAAACAACTCCACACCTCCCTGGATGACAAAGGCGGTAGAAATTAAGTTAAAGAAGAAAAAGTGCGCTCACAACAAGTGGCAGGTAGAAAATATAATTGAGAAACAAGAGAACTATTGAAGGTTCAGAGAGGAAGTGAAAAAGCAAATAAGAGAAGCAAAAGAAAATTATGAGAAAAGACTGACAGCTAACATACAAGGGTGTCCCAAAATCTCTCTCTCTCTCTATAGTGAAAGAGTGGTAAAAGGAGGAGTCGGACCAATTAAAG